TTTCTACTCCTTTGCCCTTTCAATGTGTTATCTATTTCTGAAAATTTAGTATTAATGTCCTGGATTGCTACCTGCAGATTTTATATTATTTCTAATTTTTCACGTATTTCATCATTTTGTTCTTGTATTTTCTTCCAAAATTGTTCTAGGGTTTTGTCTGTATTTTCCTTAATTTTGTCAGTGTTTTCCTTCATCTGCCTCTCAATCCTTTGAAGATGCCTAAATATAATTCTTTTGAATTCCTTATCAGGGAGTTCCAAAGCTGTTGCTTCTTCAGGGATGTGTTCTGGGTTTATGGCCTGCTCCCTTGTTTCTACTGTTTTATCTTGCTTCTCTGTGTGGACTGTGTGGTCTGTTGTCTCTGAGCCATTGTGACATTGTATTTAGGTCTCTGCTAACTGTTTGTGAAGAGCAGTTAAGGGTGAGTCAGGCTTTTCTTGGTGGTCATTTATTGACCATTTGGTGGAGAAGAAAGTCATGGCTCTCACTTAGTAAGTGGGGCTGCAGGAGGTGTGGGTATGGTTGCATCGTATGGGCACAGTTGCTGTCTCTCATGAAGTTAGACAAAACAGCGATCGAAAAACCATCAAAAAGTAAAAGCAAGCACACAAAAAATACACTGCATAAACACACAGGAGTAATCATTGATAAAATAAAAGAAAACAAACAAACAACAACAACAAAGAAAACCCCACAGTATCTGGGGAGGGGCAATAAGAGAAAAGAAGTAGAATAGGAGAATAATGAAGAAGAAAATGGGAAAAATGCAAAAAGAAAAACAAGGAATGGGATTAACTATGAGAAAGAAAAAGTGGGAACCAGGAACAGGGAAGAGTGAAAAAGCTGATCATTAAAATGTGGGAAGGGAAGAATAAGCAATAATAATAAAAAGAAAATAGTAATAGTAATTATTTAAAACAGGCAAAAACAAACAAACTAAAAAAAAAAGAGGAAAAAAAAATCTGGACAGGGTGGGGCAGAGTACCCAGGCTTCATCCGAGCACACAAACTGGCATGGAATTCCTGCTGGCCCAGAAGATGGGTGGGGGTGAGGGATGACCGCACCTCCATTCACCAAGAGTTACAAGGGGAATATCACACCTTTCCAGTCATTCCTGTCCAGAATGTCCTTGAAGTTACTGGCAAGTGGAACCTTTCTTTGGTGCCTGGAATCTGAGAGAATGCTGTCACTTGAAATATCCAAAATGGTTGAACCGCTTATAAACATTCAAAATGGCTGCCTCCTCTGGACAGGGAAAAGTCCATAGCTCAGCCCGTCTTTCTCTTTGCTGCTTCCCCTCTTATTCACCAACCACCAGTGCAGTCTTCCATGTAGCCCCTGGCTAGCACGGCTGATATTTAGATTCATTTTTAGGTCCTAACACCACTTAGCAATATCCAAGCTGTTCATGGTGTCAGGATGGCTGACAGACTGCAGCTCTGTATGTCTCCTTTTTTGGTGTTTTCATGCAGGTTCTTCTACTAGTTGGAGTTTAGTCCACTTCTGTATCATTCCTTTCAAAGCTCAGGGTGCCAAGATTATCTTCTGTAGCTATGTTAAATGGCTCCACTTTTCTTTGTTGAAGAGGGTCTGCGTGGTTTGTCTGCTTATTCTGTCCTATTCTAAATCAATTCCAACTTTATTACTTTTACTTTCCTTAAACTTTACTTTTTTTTTTTTTTTTTTTAAGGTCTGTTCCTCACCAGATTTCTCTGGCTACCCCACACACTAACTATCCTTGCTTCCAAGGGCATATTCATTGAGTTCCTTTGTAGTTGTGATTTCTACTAAGATTTGTCAAGTCCCTGGGTGGTATAAATGATTGGTGTTCAACTACTAAACTAATGGTTGGCAGTTCAAACGCACCAGAGACACCACAGAAGAAAAGCCTGGCAACCAGTTTTCATAAAAATTACAGGCAGGGAAACTCCATGGAGCAGTTCTACGCTGTAATACACAGGGTCACCATGAGTCTGAGTTGACTCAATGGCAATGGGTTTGTTTGTTATCAAGAGTTAGGAGATCCTGGGTGGCACAAATGGTTAAGCACTTGGTTACTAATGAAAGGTTGGCCATTTGAACCACTTAGAAGCACCTTGGAAGAGAGATCTGGTGATGTGCATCTGTAAGGTCACAGATGTGAAGACCCTGGGGAACATGATTCTATTCTGCAACATGTGGGGTTGCTGTGAGTCAGCATCAACTTGACAGCAAGTGGATTTTATTTTTTGGGGGAAGTGGTGCAACAGGTTCAAGTGCTCACCTAGTAAACAAAACGTTGGGGATTTGAGTCCTTGCACAGGTGCCTCAGGGGAAAGACCCGTTGATCTACTTCCAAAAGTCAGCCGTTGAAAACCCCATGAAGCACAGTTCCATGGGATGTCCATAAGTCAAGAGTTGACTTAATGGCAACTGCTGGACCAAGGCTTGGTACAGCGAGTCCTGGGAAGCTTAGGGGAGCAGTATGGAGTAAGGAGCACTGACTTCCCATTGACTGTAAGAGTAGAACATGTGCTAAACCACAAGGGGCTACACATTGCTACAAAGCCCCTGCAGCCCTGCAGCTTGTTGGGCTGTAGACACTGCAGATACCAAGGCCAGCCAGTAGTTTTCACTGTATCTCAGCCAAACAAAAAAACCAAACTCACTGCCATCGAGTTGGATCTGACTCATAGCAACCCCTCCTTGGGTTTCTGAGGCAGTACCACTATGGAAATAGATTGCCCAATCTTCCTTCCGAGGAGTGGCTTGTGGGTTTGAACTGCCAACCTTCTGGTTAGTGGTCAAATGCCTTAGGCACTAGGCTACCAGAGCTCCTGTATCCAGGCCAGGACCTAGCAAATATATTTGCTCGACCTCCTCCACGTCATTGGGTTTTTAACCTTGGAGACCATAGCTGAGGATTTGGTTTTGTCTCCAAACATGCAGTGTGGACTTTGGGGAGTTTAATTCTACTTCTGAACCTACAGCAAAAGTTTTCCAACAAGGGTTGATGCCGAGCTAGGGAGAATAATCACCGATGGCCAAAGGGTCGCATTGCCAGGAAAGCCTGAGAAGCACAACATCAAATGGAACTAAACAGCTTTCTTTTCTACAAGAGTTATTTTGAGAGAAATACCGTGTGAGGGCAGTGGTGGTTCAGTGGTAGAATGTTCACCTTCTGTGTGGGAGGCCCAGGTTCTCTGCGTGGCCAGGGCACCTCATGTGCAGCTTCCGTGTCACCACTCGTCCTTCAGTGGAGGCTTGTCTGTTGCTCTGATGCTGAACTGGTTTCTGCAGTGATTCCAGATCAGACAGACTAGGAAGAAAGGCCTGTGGATCTACTTCTGAATATCGGCCAATGAAAATCCTGTGGCTCCAAACAGTCCAATCTGCAACCAATCGTGGGAGTAGTGCAAAACCATGCAGCATTCCGCTGTGGTGTGCATGGGCTCTCCTTGGGTCAGGGGCTGACTTGATGGCAGCTGACAACAACAGAAATCCAGCATTTACCAAACTAACGTCACTGTGGCACCCCTTCTTACAGAGTGGTTTTGATTCAGTTTTAAGAATGCTGCTCTGTGGTGTCCTTTCTGTCTTCTCTTTTCAAAAACCTGATCTCATTAAATGTCTTTAAACTCTTGAGGTCCTTTAGCCTAACTTTTTTTAAAAATTTTTTATTGTGATGTGTGTACATATTTACAAAGCAGATTCACTTTATTCTCAACAGTTCATGCACATTTGGTTTCACGGCACGATTACAATTCTCAACCATAAAAAGCTTTTTGCCCGTCTCCTCCCCGTGACTAGCCCATCCCTGTGTCCTTCTTTTCTGTGCATTCCTGTCTGTCCAGCTTTCCCTCTATGTGAATGCTGCCCCTCTGATGTCTCATGGCTGATTGGTCTAGGGGGTGCATCTCCCTGGGTTCAGTGTTCTGTTTGTAGATCTTTCTACTGTTTGGCTGAGAGCTAATCTACAGAAGTGAGTCCAGTTCTAGGCCCAAAGGATAATCCAGGGCCATGGTCTTGAGGGCTCCAACAGTCTCTGTCTGACTAGTAATTCTGGTCATTTTTATGTTTTTGAATTTTGTTCCACATTTTTCCTCCCACTCTATCCAGGATCTCCAGTGTTGATCCCTTTCTGAGTGGTTGACAATGGTAGTGGTTGACATCTAGTTCTTCTGGTCTCAGGGACATGAAGGCTGAGGTCCCCATGCCCCATCATATCCTTGGACTTATTGTTTCCAAATGATTCTCCTTTAGCCTGACTTGTGAAGCTACTTATCTACAGGAAGCTGTATTCAAAATTGTGCCTTCAACCAAAATTGTGCAAGCCAGAACCCTTCTGGAATTGTCCACAGTATGATGTTGTATGGTGATCACTCCTCCTCTTCTATCCTCGTCTCCCCTCCCTGGTCCTTTGTAGAACTGACGATAAAAAGGATAGAAGGTTAATGTGGAGGTTGGTCTTCCCTATAAGAGATTTCATGGACACTCTTTTTGAACACCCATTTCCAGATTTTGTTGTTCATCAGACTTTGCCCTACCAGTCGGTTTCAGTGGACACATTCAACACCAAGAACGATGTGTATGTGGCCATCGCCCAGCCCAGCATGGAGAACTGCATGGTGCTAGAGTGGGATCACATTGAAATGAATTTCCGGAGCTATGACAATATTACAGGTATGTTGTGGTTTTGATCAGATTCATTGACCTAATCTCAGCACCACCAAAAACCCATGAGGGAAGAAATGTTCTTTCCATACTGAGGGAGAGTTTGGCTGTTAGAGTTGGTGAACACAGTGAAGCCCACCCACATCTCTCCAACGTTTTCTTGCCATGCTTGGCTGTTGGTGAGAGCAGAAACCTCAGGAGGGGGACCTATTTATTTTTGGTGACCCTTCTGAAAAGGGAGAGGGTGATGGGTTACATGTGGTTGGAAGCACTTTACAGTCTTGATGAGTAGTCCCACTAAGAATCTCCTGGCCATAAATATAGCAGCCTAAGATGGCACCAGCTTCTTAGCACCCAACTAATATGTTGATTTTTGTTAAGCTGATTGTGAACTGATATGTTAACATGGGTGTGTGTGTGTGTGTGTGTGTGTGTGGTGTGTGTGTATATATATATATATATATATATATATATATATATACACATACATATATATGTGTGTATATATACACACATATGTATTGCATACATTTTGTAGAACACACACACATACACCAGTTAAACCAATGGCTATAGAGTTGATTCCTATGCATGGCAACCCCATATGTGTCAGAGTAGAACTGGGCTCCCTAGGCTTTTCAGAAGCTGATTCTTTGGAAGCAAATTGCCAGGCCTTTCTTCCATGGCACTTCTGGGTGGACTTGAGCCAGGGCTTCGAACCAGTTTGAAACTGTTCACTCATGGCCGACAGAAACAAGGGCAGTGTATGCATTGCAGAGCAACTAAATCTCTTGTGCCTTGGATCTGGACCCAAATAGGAAACAGGCCCTACTCAAAGTTGACAGCCAAGTGACTGCTGTGAATGGCAGCTTTGAATGTGTGTCGTGGTGTGGCCAGCTGCCATCTTTTGGTAGAGCAGGGCTGCCTATTCCTGCTCGAGTCAAAAGCCAACACAGAACAGATTTGGTTACTATTAAACACGTACACTGCCGTGGTTTCCATCAGCTGTGACTGAATCATTTTGAACCAGTTCAAAGCCCTTCCAACCTTTCGGTTAACAGTCCGACATTTAACTATTTGCATTACCCAGACTTTACACAGGCACCCCCACACACATTTTTATGGCTTGTGCTGCTGACAGGCATCTTCATGGTGAAGTTAAGCAGTAGGCTCTTGGGACTTCCTGTTTGTGTTGACTAACTCTCCTTTTCCTAGCTTTACCCTGTCTGTAAGCCCAGTGGCATGTCTCCGTTCTCCTGGGGCTGTCATCTCGCATGCTCTGTGTGCTCCCGTCTTGGTGTCACTCACAGCTGCTTCAGGCAAGCTGTCTATCCATCAGAACACAGAGGAGCACAGGCTGAGTGTGGAGGCTGGCTGCACCACTGAGGCCTTTGCCCAGCCGAGCCCTGGAGCTTAGCTTCGGAATCTCCATCACTGCCCAAGCATTCAGCCAGCTTTCCTCTGTCTTGTCCACAGGCTGACATCACAAGCCCAAACCAAACCAAACCCACTGCTGTTGAAGTAGATTGCCAAGTCTTCCTTCCAAAGAGTGGCTGGTGGCTTTGAACCACCAGTCTTCTAGTTAGCAGTCAAATGCCTCAGGCCCTACGCCACCAGAGCTCCTAGATTACAAGCCCACCATTACAAGCCTGCTCAGATGCATACTGTGTCCTGTCTGCCAGATTTCCCTGACACACCCGTCTAGCAGTCCTCTTAAAGCTGAAGGTGAATTTACTGTGATATAGTTCATTCTTTCCTCATTGGCCTGCTTTGTTCATGTGTCCGCCATCAAATCCCCGTAAGCAAAGACCTAAAAAAACGTACTTCTTTTAGGAAAAATTTCCGTGCAGCTAAAGTATTACTCTCCAGAACCCTCTGTATAGCACAGTCCTATAGAATGTTCTGTGAAGATGGAAATGTATTTTCATGCACTATCCAATATTGTAGGCCACTGGTCACATGCGGCTTTGAGCACTTGACAGGTGGGTAGTGCAACTGTAGAGCTGAATATTTAATTTCATTAAGTTTCAGTAAACTTAAGTAAGCTGTGGGCCAGGTGCTTCAGTATTAACAACAACAACAAAACCAAACTCACTGCTGTCGAGTCAGATCCACTTCATAACAACCCCTCCTTGAGTTTCCAAGACAGTACTGCTACGGAAGTAGATTGCCCAGTCTCCCTTCCAAGAAGTGGCTGGTGGGTTTGAACCACCAGCCTTCTGGTTAGCAGTCAGATGCCTTAGGCACTACGCCATTTCCATCACCACAAGATGTTCTAGTGGACAGTACAGCTCTGTAACTTGTTCCTGGTACCTCCTTACCAGGTCCTGGTGGTCACTGTTTTCTTTTACCAAGTACATACAAAGGAAGAATAAGCAGATCCCTACATTCAGGCTTTGGGATGTGATTAAGCTAAGGTTCCTTTCAGTGCTAACAGGTCATCCCAAGGACCTTTATTTTCCCTCCCTTACTTTTTTTTTTTTTTTTTTTGTGGTAGATGTGTATGTAACAAATCATTTGCCTTTTCAACATTCTTCATGTTTCAACATTCTTCATAACTCAGTGACATTAGTTATGTTTTATTATGTTGTTCAGGGAGCCCTGGTGGTGCAGTCCCTAAGGCATTTGACTACTAACTAGAGAAGGTTGGCAGTTCAAACCCACCAGCTGCTCTGCAGAAGGGAGACGGGGCAGACTACTTCCATAAAGATTGACAGCCTCCGAAACCTGGAGGGGGTCGCTATGAGTTGGAATTGACTTGATGGCAGTGAATTTGCTTTTGTTTTGGATCATGGTCACCCATCACCATGATCCATTTCCAGAGTCCTCTAAGCAGGAGGCCCCTTCTTTCCCTTCCTCTAACCTGCCCCAGGCAACCACAAATAAACTCTGGCCTCTGTCCGCTGGCTGGGAGTCCCTGGGTGGTGCACATGGTTACGCATGTGACTGCTTGCCAAAAGGTTGGGGTTCAAACCCCCCCCCAAGAGCTGCCTCGGAAGATGGGCCTGGTGATCCGTTTCTGAATGGCCACAGCCTGGGAAACCCCGGGGAGCACAGTATAACTCTGCACACCTGGGTCACTGTGAACTGGAATTGATGTGATGCCAACTAACGGCAAAGCACTTGTTCTTCTAGCTATTTCATATGAATGGAATCATGCAGTATGTGTCCTTTTGTGACTGACTTATTTTACTCAAAATAACGTTTTCATGGTTCATCCATGTTGTATCGTGTACCAGGACTTCATTTCTCTTTATGGCTGAGTCATATTCCATTGTATGTATATCCAAGGAGCCCTGGTAGCACAGTAGTTAAAGCACTCAGCTGCAAACCAAAAGGTTGGCGGTTTAAACCCCCAGCCATTTTGTGGGGGGAAAGATGTGGCGTTCTGCTTCCGTAAAGATTTACAGCCTTGGAAACGCTATACAGCAGTTCAACTCCGTCCTGCAGGGTCACTACGAGTTGGAATTGACTTGCTGACAATGGGTTTGGTTTGGTTTGGGGTATGTATGTACCACATTTTGTTGATCCATTCATCTGCTGATGGACATATAGGCCGTTCCCACCCTTTGGCTAATGGGAATAGTGCAATGAATGCTGATGTGCCAGTATCTACATTTCTGCTTTCAGTTCTTTGGGGTGTATACCTAAAAGGAGTGGGCTTTGGGATCTGAGTGTGTAAGCATTACTGAAAACAAACTGTCTACTTTCTGTTTTGTGGACAAAGTCAAAATAGTCTTTTCAAAGACTTCTCCCTGATCAAAATGAAATTTGATAATAATACAAACTTTATAAACTTACCACACAGTCCCAATCGTCACCCCGTGAAAGGACTTCCTTTAAAGGCTCCAGGTTTGGAGTTAGAGCAGCGTTTTACGGTGGCAGTGAGCAGCACATTGCGGTGGAGTTTCCGTACTGAGAGGCTCCTAGGAATCTCTCAGGCACAAAGTGGCTTCGCAGCAGGTGCAGGGACAGGCAGGAGGCCTGTTGTTTCTCCCTCGGGGGGAAGGGCTGACAGTGAGCCTAATCTCGCTCCTCTGAGGTCTTGGAGACACATGTCTGGACGCTCCAAAGATGCCATTTCAGATGAGCCGTGTGGCTGTCAGGCCATCTGGTCTCCTAGTGCTGAGCTCACATTCTTGGGAGCAACCACTTGGAAATGTGGATTCAGCTCAGAGCCACAAAGGTGACCCTAATAGGTAAGCCGAGGCCTTGGGGCCTTAAACTTAAACCCTGTGCACATTAAAGAAAAAGGGGGGCAGTGAGAGAGAGACTCTACGTCCATATATTCTTTTGCTTCCCTTCCTTGTCTGACTTGCAGGACAGATAAGAGTAAATGAGCTGACCTCTGCCATCTCTCCTCCTTCCCCATGCTGGGGGGAGCAGGCAGTGTGAACCTTTGCTCTTGTACAAGAGCAATGTTTGTTGCTGGACACTGGTTTACCTCACCGGGGACCCACAACGGCCCCTTGAGGTGTTGCTATGGGCTGCCTGGCTGCAGTTAGAGGACAGAAGCCCTCTTTTCCAGAGAGAAGCAGCCTGTATACTGCAGAGAACCCAGGTTATGGAGGCTGGTGCACGGGCCTGTCCTCCTGGCTCTGCTCTGTACTAGGAAGTACCAGTGTCCCTGAGGCTCAGCTTCAAGCCTGAGTCAATTCCAACTCACGGTGACCCCATGTGTTGCAAAGCAGAACTGTGCTGGGGTTTTCTTGGCTGTAAGCTTTAAGGAAGCGAGTCGACAGACTTTTTTCCATGGTCCTCTAGGTGGTTTTGAACTGCCCACCTTTTGGTTAGTAGCCCAGTGCTTAACTGCACCACCAAGGGGTCTTAAGACTCAGTTTACTCATCTGTAAAATGGGGAGTAGATGTATCTCATGTGGATGTCTTGAGGCTTTGATAGTGCCAACACAGTGCAAGCACTTAGTGTGGCTTCCTCCCTACAGCTTTTACATATGAAGATGTCATGGCTCAGTCAACTCAAAGACAGAGCCCAGGGTCTGTCACGTCAC